CAAAAAATAATTTCAGATTTACACTTAGAAAAGTCGTTAAAGGAGAAAGTAAATATATCTTTCAAGTCGGGCACACTGCTTTGGAAGGAGGAAAACTTATCTCTAATTTGTCTGGAAAATAAAAGCAGTAGTATGTCTGTAAAATGGAAAACAAGGTCTGCGAGGTTGACCATTTTCACATTCTGATTGCATGAATAAAGTATGCAATTCAGAAAGGTCTCATTACAATGCAAGAAACTGGTTTATAGTGTCATAAACGTACTTTGTGGCTCGATATATATTTAGTAAATGGCAATGTTGTAAGAATGCGGACAAGTTGTCTGGGAATTCGGTAAACTTTGTTTGAAATACCAACGAGTAGTTCGAGATGAAAAGTTTTCGGAAGGTAGTTTCAAAAAAAGAAATGAAGTTTGCAAAGATAAAAGACATTGACAAAGTTGGCAAAAATTGTTATAAATTTTAGAAAGCAATGATGCGAATTCACCGAGTTGGTCTGACATGCACGGAATTGTTTAGACTGGCAAAGTCGAGACTTATTTTTTGTTTTACAAAAAGAAATAGTTGTTTTAGTCCTTTTAGCGTGGATCGCGAAAACTAACCTGACCGCTAAAGAAATCCCAACTGGACGCATCTGCGGGCATTTGACTGGTATTCATTATTCATGATGTCATTGATTATTCGATTTAAATGTCCAATGTATATAAGTAGTCTTTCAAAATAGCCGGGACCTCAGAAGTGAAAGGACACGTACATCAACATAGATAAGAGATTACGTTGTCAATGCTAGTCAACATCTTTTAATTAGCATAATCACCGGAGTGATTCCGCTCCGGTTTTCACTCCAACGAAGGGGGTCGCCTGAAGATGCGCCCAGTCGGGATTTCTTTCGCAGTCACGCTAGTTTCGCGATCACGTTAAAAAGACTAAATTGACAGTTATATTTTTTTTTTGTAAAACAAAAAAGAACTCCCGACTTTGCAAGTCTAGGAATTGTTCAAATAAAGTAGCTTACAAAATTGTAATTAATATTGTGAAAATAATATTGGAAGTAGAAACTGTCTGAAACGACAGAATAGTTGGATAGTCCAAACGATACAAGTTTACATAGA